TGTGTGTCATTATCCATTAAAATGCTAAAAATTGGGGTTTGAATCTTTAAGTTATTGTGACTTTTTTCTCCAAATCCATCATTTGTTTCTCTCCACTTTCAACATCTGAAATTTTAATTACAGTTCACATTTCTTTTTCTGCCTGTCCCCTAGGCCACATCCCAATCTCACTTGGGATGTTCTTGCACCAGGGCCTTCAAGAGAGAGAAGGTTTTCCTCTTTGGTGACCACAAGCTTGCAACCGAGTTTATATTCTTTCCTTACAATGCTGTTGGGGCTTTGTGGGGTTTTTTTGCATCTTATTGATATATTCTGTTCATTTATATATTTATATCACCAGTTTATATATTTTTCTTTTTCTCTTTTAAGCCTTTTAACCCTTCTCCCGCTACAGAAAGGCAAACAGAACAATAAATGGTATCGTATTTAAAGGTTTGGGGTTTGTTCTCCTGTCTGGCTCAGCTGGTAACTCTCTTCCCCACTACTTGGGGATGGCTTTTTCTGTGCTTGCAAGGTAGGATACTTTGCTCCTGTGGGATCTTAGACAGCGGCAGTGTGGATGGAAGCTCTGTATGAAGGTAAAAGTCTACACATTTCTTGTTGTTCTGTCTCTGGGAAAGCACTGAGGCTGCAGCTGTCCAACACTGTGCCTGGGAACGCCTGTCGCCGAGGCTCTCATGAGCCCTGACTTTTTTATGCCTCTGATTTTTCTTTTCCTTCTCTCTCATGATTGACATTAGTCTTTTCTGGGCCTTGTTTGCTTGCACTGCACTTGTAGGGAGCCCGGAGCGCTGTGGTATTTTCATTTCAGCCAGGTTAAGGGTGACGAGGATTACACATGCACACTGATTTATGCCTCAAAGGCTGGAAATAGTGTCAAGTGTGATCTCAGCAGAGCTGGGCTCAATGACTCAAGTGCTCAGCGCAGTGTTACACTCTCAGACATCAATCCTCAGCCACTGAAATGGAAACTCAGTGTCCAGAACATCCCTCGATAAAGCCCTGATCCGTGAGTGTTATCAGTTATTAAAAAGATCATAACAGTGTTTCCAGTGTTCATGCCAAAGCCAGAATTACAGAATCACAGAGTCATCAAGGTTAGAAAAGACCTCCAAGACCATCCAGTCCAACCTGTGCCTGATGCCCACCTTGTCACCCAGCCCAGAGCACCGAGTGCCATATCCAGTCCTTCCTTGGACACTTCCAGGGATGGGGACGCCACCACCTCTCTGGGCAGCCCCTTCCAATGCCTGAATAGCCTTTCCACGAAGGAATTCCTCCTGATGTCCAACCTGAACCTTCCCTGGCACAGTTTGACGCCATTTCCTCTTATCCTGTCACTTGTTTCCTGGAAGGTGACTGTTCCCCCAAATGAATGTGGCAATTTTTTAAGTATTTCAAGCTCTGCACTGTGTTGAAGTCAGTGCTCAGTGACTGTTTTTACTTTTTCTAACCATATATGTAAAAAAAAACTGAGAGTGATTTGACAGTTAATATTCCCTTAGGATACAAAAGGCCAAGGATTTGAACCACAGGTGCCTGCACTACAAGCTACTGCTGCTTCTGGTGCAGGTGCCTTTCTCCCTCTGGTTTTAACCAGAGCTGCCTGGACATGAAAAACCAGCACAATCATTACCAAAACTCATATGTTCCTATGAAATACATTAATTTGGCCCCATCTCATCTTCTCCTCCATAAAAAGAGCCTGACCATTCCCAGCCTGGCTATCTTTGCAGCATGCTGGGAAATACCAGAGGAGGGAAGAACAGCACAAGTGCAGTCCAAGACAGAGATCTTCCCTTCCAAATGCCTCCAGCCCTTGCCAGCACAGGGAACTGAGCAGTTCAGTTTGCTACTGACCAAACGCTTTCTGCAAGGCAGCTGGAAGGAATGATGGAAAGGGTGGAGGGAATTCCTCTTTTGGATGCCAGTTGGAGCAGCCCAGCTCTCCCTGAACCTTTTCCTGTATGTTAATTTAACGCATCTCATTAATAGTGTCCAATTGAATAATGTAGCAACTAACACACGAGAAACGAAGCCAATCGTATCTGACTCAGTGGTGCAACCTCAGAGCATCCTGTATCACTTAAGTATTGTTGTCCTGACACACGGGGGGAAGGAGAAGCACATCCATGGGCTCTTTCCCTGCTGTGTTTGTTCTGGCAGTCAGGAGGGGCACACAGCCTGCCCTGCTGTCATCGCTGGTCCCTGTGTAAGTGAAAATCCACTTTCTAACAACACACAATGCCTATTCTTTTCTAATCAAGGCCAGCAGGCTTGCAACCTAATGAAAAGGCATCAAATTAAGGGAGAAAGAGACAAAAATAATATATGCCATGTTCCAAAGCACACCTGTGGTTGCAACTATAATTGGTGGATAGACAGACAGGCAGACACTCTGTCAGCTTTGGAAATGGGTCACAGTGTTCTGGAAAAAACAACAAAATGAGTTAAAAGTCAGTTTTCAGTTCCACAGCTCTACCTATACTGTGGAAAAAAAAATAGATTTGTGTTGATTACTTTTACTAGGATTTAATTTCTTTTGGATCTGTTCCCAAAACAGTCTCATCAGCACTAACCATATTCTTATTTCCGTGCTATGCTTTGTAGGGACTGGCTGTGTAGCCACGGCGACACAAAGGAGAGCTCCTAAGGCTTGGTAAAAAGAGGTGGAATATCAGAGTGGGTTTTTAGTAATCGTGCCAGAGCAGCCACTTTGGCTTTCTGGGCAGTTATCAGTGTTGTGATAGCAAAAAAAAGGAAATGATTTTGCATGAAGAACAGTAATGAGCAATTACTTCAACTTCTTTGCATTTAGAACATTCAGCAACCTGGCCTAGTGGAAGGTGTCTCTGCTCACGGGGTGGGTGGAAAAAGCTGAGCTTTAAGGTCCCTTCCAACCCAGACTTCCATGTTCCTTCATGGCTAGGCTTTGTGAACAAAGATTTGGGAAAGGCTCTATCCACATCTGTTACAAGTACGCTGGTGGCTGATAAGGTCGGTGCAAGATAGACACGTCTGATTGCAAAAGGTACAACAGAAAGACTCTTTAGGAGGTATATTCTGCAAGGCACGGTTCTTTCTGCGTTGTCTTTTCTCCTCGAGAGTGATCCTGCGTGTGTTCTCAAAGGAGACAGCTGCGTTATAAGGTGGTGTGTCTCCGGGCCTCCCAATTGGAGACCAGAATAGACCAGTTATGTTGATCAATATGGCCAAGGCTGAGATGTTGTTTCAGGGAGTCCTTGTATCTTTTCTTCGGGGCTCCTCTCTTGTGGCAGCCAGTGGCAAGTTCACCATAAAGCAAGATCTTAGGGAGGCGGTGGTTGGTCCTTCATCCTGGAGACGTGCCCTGTCCAACGCAGCTGTGTTCTCATCAACATGGCCTCAATACTTGTGATAGCTGCTTGTTCTAGAACAGATGTGTTGGTCACATAATCTGGCCAGTGGATGTTTAGGATTGTACAGAGGCAGCGTTGATGGAAGCGTTCTAGGAGATGCAGGTGGTGGCGGTAGATGACACATGATTCAGATCCATATAAAAGAGTAGACAGCACAATGGCTTTGTAAACACTGATCTTGGTACTTTTCTTCAAGTGTTTATTACGCCATACTCTTTTATGAAGCTTTCCAAAAGCACTGTATGCCTTTGCTAACCTGTTGTCTATCTCTCCGTCAATCTCACCATTCAAGGAGATGAGGCTGCCTAGGTAATTAAACTGCTGGACTGATTTGAGCTCTGATTCACCAATGGTGATATGGGGATGATGGAAGGCTTCCTGAGGTACCGGTTGATAGAGAACTTCTGTCTTCTTTAAGCCCAAAGAGCTCAGCAGCGTCTGCAAAAGCAGGATGTTAAACGCTGCAGAGCTGCTTCTGTGTGGGCAACAAGGGCAGCATCATCAGCATAAAGCAGCTCCTGGACAAGATGATTTAAGGTCTTGGTGTGGGCCTTCAGTCGTCTTAGGTTGAAAAGGCTTCCATCAGTACGATATCAAACGTAGATACCGTCCTGATCATCGAGGTCTGCCGTGGCCCTTTGGAGCATCATGCTGAAAAAGATTGTGAATAGAGTTGGTGCAAGAACACAGCCTTGATTCTGACGTAACCCAGAAGAAATGTCCAAAACTTGAGGCTGGCTTTCCCTGCTTCTACTACCGCAAGATTTAACCCCAGTGCCAGCCCTAACTCCCTCAAGCTCTGCTAGGCTAATTAAAGCCCTAATCTAAGACCCGGGGCTGTGTGGGCGCAGGGCGAGCCCTCAGCCCGCGGCCATGGCGGGAGCGCGGCCGCCTCAGCGCTGCCACAGCGGGGACAGGCACGGGCAGGGCTTGGGGCTTAACGATGGCGACTTGGGCAGGGCTCGGGGTTTAATACAGGTTTAATGCTGGAGGTTTGGGCAGGGCTCGGGGTTTAATACAGGTTTAATGCTGGAGGTTTCGGGAGGGCGCGAGGTTTAATCCTGGGTTTAACGCTGGAGGTTTGGGGTTTAACAACGCCGCTTCGGCCGGCTCCTCAGGGCTGTCGCTGCCCGCGGCCGGCGGTCGCTGAGGGCACCGCCGCAGCCTCGCCGCCGCCACTGAGCATGCTCGGCTCCCGCACATCCGCCCGCGCTCGGCGGCCGCGGGACGCGGCGGGAGCGGTGCCCGGCGGCAGCGGCTCCCCCGGCCACAGCCCCGCGCGGGAGGCGCAGCGCGGCCCCGCCGCCATGAACGGCGGCGCGGCGGGGGCGGCGCCCGCCTTCCCCGGGCCCGTGCAGTGTAAGTGCCGCCGCGCCATGCGCGCTCCGGGGCCCGCGCGGCGGAAGCCCAATTGAGCCGGGGCCTGGGCAGGCCCCGAAACCTGAGTAGCGCAGGAAACGGGCGGGAGCGGAGCCCGGGAACCTGGCTGGGGGGCGGAGGGGAACCCGGGAATCTGCGTGAGCGCCGCGGCGCCGGGAAGGGCGGGGGGGTCGCGGTGGTAGCCGTGGTGTAGCCCATGGTCCGCGGGTCCTGGGCAGTGGTCAGTGGTCCGTGGGTCTTGGGTGGTGGTCCATGGCTCCCTGGGGGTGGTCCATAGTCCATGGGTCCTAGGCAGTGGTCCATGGGTCCCAGGCAGTCAGTGATCCATAGTCCATGGTCTACAATCCATGGATCCTAGGCAGTCGTCCATGGTCCATAGTCCATGATTGATAGTCCATGAGCCCCAGGCAGTGCTCCATGGTCTTTGGGACCCAGGCGGTGGTCCATGGCCCATGGATCCCAGACGGTGGTCCGTGGTTTGTAGCCCACGGATCCCAGGTGGTGGTCCATGCTCTGTAGGCCATGGTCTGTAGTCCATGGATCCCAGGTGTTGGTTCATGGTCTGTCATCCATGGATCCCAAGTGGTGGTCCATGCTCTGTAGTCCATGGTCTGTAGTCCATGGATCCCAGATGGTGGTCCATGCTCTACAGGCCATGGTCTGTAGTCCATGGATCCCAGGTGGTAGACGATGGTCTGTGGTCCATGGATCCCAGGCAGTGGTCCACAGATCCCAGGCAGGCTCTGTTGAGTGATGCTGCAGCCACTGGGTGAGTACCCCCTGCAGGACCCCGAGCCCTTTGGGGAAGCATCCCCCCACCCCACCTGGGGGTCCCGCAGTGACTCCACAGCTCAGGTCATGAGGGCAGCAGGATGTCCCTGTGCCCCTGGGAGCAGTGTCACCCACTCCCACTCCGTTGGGCTGAGCTCCTCACCGCGCTTCTGTCCCCGCAGTCCCCGGCGGCACCACGGTGCTGGTGGAGCTCACCCCCGACATCCACATCTGCGGCATCTGCAAGCAGCAGTTCAACAACCTGGACGCCTTCGTGGGGCACAAGCAGAGCGGGTGCCAGCTCACCAGTGCCACGGCCGGGGCCACCAGCACCGTCCAGTTTGTGTCGGAGGAAACGGTGCCGTCCACACAGGCACAGACCACGACCAGGACCATCGCCTCGGAGACACAGACCATCACAGGTAGCAGTGTCACACACCTGCAGCTTGGAGGCACTTGACTCGTGCCAAGTCTGGCACTGGAACAGGCTCCCCAGGGCAGTGGTCGCAGCCCCAAGGCTGCCAGAGCTCAAGGAGCATTTGGATGATGCTCTCAGGCACAGGGTGTGACTCTTGGGGATGGCCCTGTGCAGGGCCAGGAGCTGGACTCGATGATCTTTGTGGGTCCCTCCCAGTTCAGCATATTCTGTGATTCTGTGAAGTGGCAACATGACACAGCCCTCTGTTCATGTGTCCCCATCACACTCAGCTAAAACAGCAGTTCTCACATTAGTTGTCATGTACCCAAGAAAGAAAAATAGTGGTGTGCTGCCTCCTTGGGTTTGGAGTGACAATAGTTGCTTAATTTGCTAATTGAGATACACACTCTTGCAGAGAGTTGCTCAAGTCTATTGTGTTGTATAACCAACTTGTGCAAACTAATTAAAATTGTCAATACTTATGAAAAATAATGAAATTACTCTGCATTTTATTTTTTTTTAAGAGTGCTCTTGATGAAAAACAGACACAGAATTGCTGTCAGGCACCAATCCAGGCGTTTTTTTTTTGTGAGAACACTGCATTCTCTAACATTGCTCCCACAACTAATTGGCAGGAAAAATATTGCTCAAAATTTCTGCCTATGTGAAGGCTCAAGTGAGGTCCCGATCCTAGAGACATTTAAATAAAATTAGAATTTTGTTCCATGTATGAAGGTTTGCCCTTCTATATATAGTTTTGTTTTATTTTGGTGTAGGACCTTACTAAAATCCAAATTATTTGACTTTAATTTGGATAGACAGATTAAGGCAGAGAATCTGGAAGAGCAGTGAAACAAACTGAATTCAGGGCTCACTTCCAGGAATTTTTGTATTATAATCCCTCAACTCAGTGTGGGTTTTAGATGAGTCATTTTTCTGCTTCATATTTACTCATCTTTAAAATGAGGGCAGTTCTATCCATTTGCCCTTTTGGGGTACAGTGTTGTTTAATTGATTTAAAAGCTGCTACTTTGGCTGAGATAGTTTCACCTGTTGTTCTTGTGAGTAACAGCTAAAAACAGTAGAGTTGAAAGAGGCTGAACTTTTTTAACAATTATAAAAAAATTTGTTTGCATTTATGCCATTTTGACCACATTTGCCATGTAAATAAGGATTTTTTTTTTTCTCCTTTGGGCTATAGCACAGCCAGTGTCGAAAAACAAATATGGCTTTATTTGATATTTGGAAGAAAAAAGCCTTTTTCCTTTCCCCCTCCCTCAGGTAAATAGAAACACAGGAACAGGAATGGTGCTGGAAAAAAAAACCGGAATGTAGAAGTAATTCATGAAACTAGACAATAATTACATTTTTTTCTGATTAGAGAAGTTAATGTTCTCAAATTAAGCTCTTTTGTGTGTTTAGTTTCTGCCCCAGAGTTTGTTTTTGAGCATGGCTATCAAACCTACCTGCCCAGTGAGAGCAGTGAGCCTCCAGCTGCTGCTGTCGTGTCCACACCACCCAAAGCACGGTCCAAAAAGTCCACTGCCTCACTCACACAGAAGAAACTAAACTGCTGCTACCCAGGTAAGATGGGGTTTGTACCTCCTTGCTTTTCATTTGAGCAGTGGGAGGTGTCCTGTAGTGAATACACACGGCGGATTTGTCTGTCTTGAGCAGTTCAGACGTACAGAACCTGGAAGACAACCTGTTTACTGAGGGTGTGATGAACTACTAGTGATACCAGGAGTAGCTTTCCTGTTGATTTCACATATCCTCAGACTTTGGTCCTGCACTGTGATGTCCTCTGGTGATGCTGCAGTGGGTTTGAGTGGAGACTTTGGCCTCTGCCCACATCTGTGCCAATGTAAGGCTAGAATCTTGTTACCTTTTTGCTGACTGCCATTGTTGTATGAGAGAAATGTCATATATGAATTTGGCATTTCATGGTTTGCCTTTGATCATTTGGCATTTTTATGAGGATGAATTGAACCGTCTTTATAAAATGGTCTCTTATTTGGAGACCTAATGAGTGAAAACCCTGCAGGACACAGAAAATGAGCACAGAACCATCCATGTTAGCTGAGTAGTTCTGTTCATGGTGGCAGAAGGTTCCATCTCTTTTCTTAAACTTGCCTTAATTTGAAAGGCACATTTGAGATGCTGAGCTTTCATTTCTCTACTCTAGAACTGTAGCCTTTTCCACTTGAACAGAATTCCTGAATGGAGAGCTATTACCTGAGTTCCCAGTTGCACTAACTGGAAGTCTTATGCGGAATGGATTAGTTCCCCCAGCATCCCTTGTGCCCAGTGAAGAGCATCTCAGACCCTGGGCAGAGATTCCAGTGACCCTTGTTCCAAAGCTTTCAGAAAAAGGTAGGAGTGGATTGCCTCCAAGGAGAAGCATTAGAAAACTGAAGTAAGCTGGTCACTCTTTTAAGCGGATGGGAGTAAACAAGATGGGGATTTCATTCTCTGTTCATACTGAATTTTAAACAAATGTTATTGAAAATAAAGAAAATGCCTAGAATTTCGTAGTGTATTTTTATTGTTTTGTTAGATTTTCCTTGAATTTAATGGTCTCGATCTTACCATTTCCAGGCTGCCAGTTCAAGACTTCCTATGGCATGAAGGATATGGAACGTCATCTACGAACACACACAGGTTTATATAGTTGCTGTATTTTAGTTTTGGTTTGTTTCCTCCTTTTATCTTTTTGCCAAAAGGTATTTTCCTATGAAATAACGTTTCTATAGACAGAATGTACACATAAGTCTGTACCTTCTAGTATTGTACTGCCCTGTGTCTGAAGAATTACCCTCTTTGGGCAAGCCATGTCCCACCATGGGCAGTCCCACTGACAGCTGTGAGACATGAACACTGGACATTGATTGAAGGCACAGGGATGCAGACCATGGGTTTATCAGGGAGCATGTGTTTATGTGGTGGAAGTACATAAACCCAGAAGTTTATTCTTCATATGAAACAGTAATTCTATAATTTTACCTCCCCTCCCCCTAAACCTCAATATCAGAGTTGTAAAGGCAGAAAGTTCCAAAGTAACTGCTAAATTCGTTGCACCTCTGCCTGCAGCTTTCTGAAGCATAAAAGAACTCTTTAGCTAATAGGATGGCTGGTGAAATGCAGTGTCCAGCTTCTGAAAACCAGTCCCTTTTCTGTCGAGTGTTTGGTGTGTGTTTGTTTGTTTTATCACAACATCCTTATGACGCAAAAATTCACCGTGCGTCGCTGCCCTTCCGCTCGTTCCAGGAGACAAACCCCACAAGTGTGAGGTTTGCAGCAAGTGTTTCAGCAGGAAGGACAAGCTGAAGATGCACATGAGGTGCCACACGGGGGTGAAGCCCTACAAGTGCAAGCACTGTGAGTACGCGGCCGCCGACAGCAGCAGCCTCAACAAGCACCAGCGCATCCACTCCAACGAGCGCCCCTTCAAGTGCCAGATCTGCCCCTACGCCAGTCGCAACTCCAGCCAGCTCACTGTGCACCTCAGGTCCCACACAGGTACCTTCTCAGGCTTGTCAGGGTCAAATGCATGCAGGCACCCCGAAAATACCAGGCAGTGGAAGGATTTAGGGGAATTTCTTTCCAAAGTCGAGAACACGTTTAACATCTCGGCGCAAATCTGCACCGGTCCAAGGAAAAGACACACCCCCCGTTCTTCTCAGGGCTTTTGTCATCCCTGACCCTCCTGCTGTGGGGGCCTTCAAACATACCTACAAGAACTTATCTTCTCTCATAGCCAGTAGTCAGCTCTTCTGGAATGCAGGAGGAGAAAACATCTGAAACTGTCTCTGGGAAAGATGTCTTCTTCCAGCCAGGAAACCTTCCTTAAGCAAAAAACCCTAATCTCCTCCTAGTAAAATCTTCTTGAAGGGTCTTCTACATTTACAGGCTAAAATTCAGATCTCTAAAGCTTTGAAGGTCCTAGGGAAAATTTAAAAAGTCATGCAGGTGTCAGGATGCCCAAAAGGGCTGATTCAGATTCTCAAAATCACTGGTGCATCCACCTTCTGTGAACTTCTTAGATATAGAATCTAGTAGGGCAATCCAGCTCTACTAAAAATACCTGGAAGCAATAAGAAGACAGGTCTGATTCTTGGTAGACTTTCTGCTAAATTGATTTTGAAACTGCCTGTTAGATGTTCTCAGACCGGTAGAACTGAAGGATCTAATTTATTGATTGATTAAGAGCATGGAGGTTTCTGTGTCTCTCAGATCTGGTCCACTCTATTAGAAACATTGAAATTACTTTATAATTGAACTAGTTATATCAGTACAAAACTTAGCTGCATAATTTAATCTTTCTTGCATCAGTAAAATAGCAAGTAATTAGCAATTTAAGTGACATTTTTGGTGACCTTTCTGTGTGGTACCTTCCCTGTGCAGACTGATGAACATTAACAGTGTAGGATGAGCAGCCAGAACTGTATTTTGCTCATGGAATTTTTGCTCTATGGATAGAAAGCTTCAGCCCCCAGGCTTATAACCATTGCATCATTTTCTATTTGCTTTGTTTGCAAATGTCTGTCTTTTTTATATCTGTTCCAGGAAGAGGTTTGCTGTAAAGATACTGTTGTACTGTTGTCTTCGTACAGTTGTCTCTGTATTTTGTTTTTCATCTAATCCAGGGTAATGGATTACTTTCTGTGTTGTCTTTTATACGTTTGATTAGTTCTGTGAATTTTAGCTGCAAGGTGGTTATGGTTCAGTGATTATTAGATTAGCTTTGAACCTGTCCTGCATCTGATTCTGGATTCGAGTCCTAAACAACAGTAGTTTGGATGTGTGCAAGATGGGATTTGTTTTGAGTAGATAAAGGAAATAAATCCCTTGTGCATTGTGAAGGAGGGGAGGGTTAAACCACTCTTTCTCTAACAAAAAAGAATCTTTTATACCTCAAAAATCTTCACAAATTTGCTGAAAGGAGGCACAAGAATTTTGAAAGTAATCATTTCATCCCTGTCATGTTACAAAGCTGTTGTGCACAAAACCAATTTTAGGAGAAAAGGACTGGTATGTAGAATATATTGCTTACTGGAATTTAATTAATTATTCTTAGAAGGTAAGTGTAATCTACATTGCTCAGAGTGAGATCACCTGCACAGCAGTACTCCTGTTAATTGGAGTAAAACTTCTCTTAGAATTAATAATTCCGGGGTCAGACACAACTTTTTGAGGTATATTCAGGCAGTGTCAATTATGGGCAGAAATGTAAAGAAATACACATAGTAGACCATTCTTTAAGCAAACAGAACCAGCATACTTTGCTTCATTCAGTAAAATTAGTAATTTATCTCATATATTGAGATATATATTTTTCACATATTGTGCTACTCTGTATATGAAAATTAAGTCATTGAAATACGAACTGTGCCTTCATCAGCAAAGCAGATAAAAATTCAGTAGCTGAGTGTGCAGCTGAGACTGTAAAATAAACTAGATGAACAAACAGTGCATCTTCATTAATAAAATCTGTTTAATACAGATAGTACGTTATGTATCTCAATTATTAAACAGATACATGGATTAGCACAGTAGGCCACAACTTGATTTGAAAAATATGCAGCTAAACCTATGACATATGTAGCTGGGTAAGCAAATTATGCAAAATTATACAGCTATCACAAACTCTATAAAATATTAACCTATAAAATAAATCAGCCATTTGCAGTTTGATTATTAAAGAGGATAAATGTTTGTTGAACTAAACACACTTTCTTTTTCCTTCTCTCTCCAAGGGTGTCTTAGTACCTAATAACACAATTCTTCCACTTTTTCAAAATAATACCTACCTAAAGACTTCTTGTTCAGGTATTTTAGAGAACTACACATTTAGATTAAGAGAAAAAGGAAACAGTTATTTAGTTAGGTTGCTAAGCTTGCTTTGGATTTGTTTTTTTTTAATGACTTCAGAATGAAGTCACTGGTCTTTACCCTGGATTTGATTATGCATTAAGCAGAGCTCCACCTTAACGTGGTCATGCATGTTGTGACATAAGCCTGTAAATAAAGGAAATGCAAAATAGTGGGTTAGATCCAGGCAACTGGAATGGTTATTAGGGAGAATCACATAAACAGGCTTATGGAGACCTTGCAGATGTGTGTTCATTTTTCATGCTTTATCAGTTAAGAGTTTGAATGCAAACTGATCTTATATGACCTGTGGAACATTACTGGGTGTGATACATGGTGCAAATATCTCTGTCTTGGTTGCTGCAATGCCAGAAGAACAAAAGCTCAGTGTTACTTTTCTATGTAAACACACTTCTCCAGAGTCACATACTTTTTCACAGTCTCACATTTGTCTTTTCCAGGTGAATTTACGTAGCTGTGATCCCTCTTTTTTCCTTTTTTTCCCTTGTAACTGTGGTACTGCTATGGTTGTGCAGTCAGCTGACACTGACCCGGGTATGGACTTCTGTCCCTACATCTCCCTCTCTCCTGGATTTTCCACTGCCTTCCTGTGCCAGCCAAATGAACCAGGCCAAAAAAACTCATCTGTTTTTCTGGTCAACTAATCTAACTCAGCAAATGTACAGGGAAGGCAGTAAGGGATATATGGTTAAGGTATATATGGTTGAGCAGTAAGGCTGGTGTCCATTAAGCACTTGTTTCTGCAGCAGCCTACCCTTTACATAGGCTTAAAGTTAACCTGCAAGCCTCCTTGTAAGTCTTGTGGTGTAATCCTGAGGCATGGATGTGTTTACGTTGTTTCCTTAGACTTAAAAATACAGCAGCTGTTAAAGTTACAGTGTTTATATTTATTAATTTTACACGCTAGTCGAGATATCCTGTTGCTAAAGAGAGACAAATGAGATACTTCAGTCGCTTCTCTGGAGCACACTGAGCAGTTTTATACACAAAATGAACTAAAAATGGAGAATTTCCAAGGGTCAGTTGTGAAAAAGCAATAGATGTGGGCAGGTGTGCTCATGGAGAGTTTGCACACAAATATGTCAGACGGGGTGATAATCCTGTGCATTGAAGTTCTTGTCATCTGGAAAATACACTGGGAGTTTAGAACAAGTCACCTGTACATAATTCATTAGATCTCGGTGTCTCATTGTAATTTGAGCTGTGGGTTGTGTTGCAGGAGATGCTCCTTTCCAGTGTCAGATGTGCCCTGCTAAGTTTAAGATCAACTCTGACCTGAAGAGGCACATGCGTGTGCACTCCGGAGAGAAACCCTACAAGTGTGAGTTCTGCGAGGTCCGCTGCGCCATGAAGGGCAACCTGAAGTCCCACATCCGGATCAAGCACAGCATGGAGAACACTCTCAAGTGTCCAGAGTGCGACTTTCAGTGTGGAAACAAAACCAGCCTTCGGCAACACATCCGAACTCACCAGCCCGAGCAGCCAGTGAAGTGCTCGGAGTGCAGCTACTCGTGCTCCAACAAGGCAGCGCTGAAGGTGCACGAGAGGATCCACTGCAAAGATCGGCCCTTCAAGTGTGAGTTCTGCAGCTTTGACACGAAGCAGCGCAGCAACCTGACCACCCACGTCAGGAAAGCTCATGGAGACAAAGTCAAGACCAAGAAGCAGTCCATGGAGAAGAAGGAAGGAGACAGGCCAAAGCAAGGTGGCTCCAGGCAAGTTGCCAAATTGGATGCCAAGAAAGCATTTAAGTGTGACCTGTGTGATGCTTCCTTTGTCCGAGAAGATTCCCTCAGGAGTCATAAGAAGCAGCACAGTCTGTATAATGGATCTAAACATAACGAGCTGGCTGTCCTGCAGCTCCAGATGGACCCCAGCCGGCAGAACAGTGCCCCCATCACCGTCAGCCACCTCCAGGTCCCACTGCAGCCTGCTCAGGTTTCTCCATACAACGAGGGGAGGGTCAAGATCATCGTGGGCCACCAGGTCCCTCAAACCAACAGCATTGTCCAGGCTGCCTCGGTGAACGTGGTGCCTCCTGCCCTGGTCAGCCAGGGCCAGGAGGAGCTGCCGGCCAACGGCCGCTTGCAGCTGCTGGGCCAGGTGAGCCTGGTGGCCCCAGCCCCCCCTGCCATGGCCTCAGGGGACACCGGGCCCGTGGCACAGCCGGCAGTGCTGCTCACCACCCACGACCAGGGTGATGGCAGTGCCCTGCACCAGGCTCTGATTCCTGCTGCCCCCGTCAGCAGCCACGAGGCTGCCGCCAGCCAGGCCTTCATCACCAGCTCCGGCATCAGCTGCTCCGACTTGGAGGGCCTGAATGCCTTGATACAGGAAGGGGCAACAGAAGTGACTGTGGTCAGTGATGGGGGGCAGAGTATAACGGTGTCCACTGCAGCTCCCCCTCCTCCCATCTTCTCTTCCTCCTCCCACACTGAAGCCCCAAAGCAGACCTACTCCATCATCCAGAGTGGAGCACACACAGCTCTGCTGTGCCCAGCAGACTCCATACCAGATTAGTCACAAACACTGTTCCTGCTCACATCTCTCTCTCAGAGGCAGTGCTGAGCTCAGCAGAAATCCATAGGACATCAGTGACTGCAGGACTTATCCTCCAAAGCCAAATATACATTTTACTTGTCTGTACATGGAAACATTCTTGTTCCTGAAGAGGAGGATGTATTTATATATATTTATGTGCCTCTATTGAGATGGGAGGCTGTGTTCTTTGTAAAATCTGAGCATCAAAGCAAGTGTTGCCAGTGTCCCCAAGCAGTGAGATTCCCACAGTATGGCTCCTGTATTATGCTGCCTAAAATAAGAAAGCCTCACCTTATGCTGAATTACTATCCCAGCAGTCTTTTTCTTTTATACACACACAAAAAGACAAAAGTTTGAGCCATTCTGAAGTTTATTTTAGTGAAGTGTCTTTCAGTTCCATGCTGTGTGTGCATTCACTGCTCCTGGCTGATCTCTGAGAAATCCCTAGTACTGGGTCTAATCCAGCCCTGGTAAAGTTTAGTGGGGCTGTTCCTTAGTATCTGTAGAAATTGCTGGAACCTGGCACTTGGAAATACTTAGGCAGAAGACCAGGTGATTGTTTTTAGAAAACAAAAGAATTTTGTCCCTTCATCAGTAGTAACTAACTTTGTTAGCAAGAACACAATTGCAAAGTATCTCCCTCCCTGGCACAGTGATCTCTGTCAGAGGCACCTGTGATTTAAAGAGAAAAATGACTGCAAATATATTTTTTACAAACACTCCTAACATTTTGGTTTTATTTTGATGCTGCCTGTTTGGAGTTGCATGGGTAGTAAAAGTGCTTTACAGTTTGAGTCTCACTCATGTAGGGCTTGCATGTCAGAGACTCTGCTGATGGAGCTTTCAAAGGGCTCCAGCTGGACAAGAAACTTCTGCCTGGGACATGGGACAGGAGGTGGTGGCCATGGGCTGAGGGGTTAGAGCTGGTGGCTGTACATGACTGCAAAGGGGTGGTAATCTGATTTTAAGACAAAAGTTTGGCTGTGATATCTGAGTTTTGAGATGTGACAAGAACTAATATGACAGCTGTAGTTGGACAAAGTACTGATATTGGTGGGTAAGGTGGGCAGGCTTTTGGGTGTAGAAAGTTACACCAAGCCTACAAACTTCTAAGTGCAAATGTACCACAATTTGGCAACTAAAAAAGGCAATTAATTTTCCCATACTCGTTGGTGTAAGTGAACTCTGCAGGGAGGGTTTCCTGAGCTCCACGTATTCTGTGTCATCCATAGGTGGTGCCAGAGGCCCAAAGAAACTTTGGAGTGTGCTCTGTTCTCCTGGATGATGTTTCCTGTTTAAGAGTTCCCTGCTCTTAACTCTACCCGGTAAAAGCATTTCCAAATTCACTTCTAGAAGACGTTACAAAAAGCCTGGCTGTAAAAATCTTACTTTCACCTAAGATAAAAAGCAGCAAATAAAAAGAAATGTCCAACATTTTCTACATGAAGCAGATCTGTGGCCAAAACTTATCTCACAATTTATGTTAAACTGGTAATTTTTTACTCCCTGTTCGTATTCCGTACATAGTTGACAGCTACAGAATTGTCGGGCACTGCAAGAATGCCACAAAATGTGGGATTCCGAGGAAGTTGATGGTTTGAACTGCAATTTATGTGTGTTTGCCCTTGCCTCCAGCCCTGCAAGGGTGCCAGGGGATGCACCTCCAGGGATCTCACCTTCAATCTAATGTCACACTTAAGGTTACACAGCTCTGTTACCTGCACTGCAGTTTCACAAAAAGCCTCCTTTATCTTCTAAAATAGGAAACCAGCAGATTTGTCATATTGTAAAGACTCCCCTTGGTTCTGGTCCTCCCTGTGCCTCGAAGATAAACAGGAAAGATAATAAAATGGTGTGAATGAATAGACAAAGCTTAGTGCTGCTTCTTTAACATTGTTAGGCTGATTGCATCATGTTTCAGTGAACAATCTAGAGACTTCTTTTCCTCCACCCTAAAAAAAAAAGCAGCTGATAACCCAGGCTGACATGGGGGCAATTTATTTTCAATTTTCTCTTCCAATATTCCAGCTTTATTTCTGTGTATGACAGTAATGGTCTTTGTGTTTTGGAGCTGGCAGAAGCAGATTGTTTTAATCTCTGATATTCATTTAATACATTCTTCATGTTATCAACAGAACTATCCCTGGAGAGAGCCTGGTAATTCATAACAAGTGTCTCTTGTAGAGCTCACTTGCTTTTGAGCACATGGTAAATAAATCCTATCCCTCCCTCCCCAGAGATCTGCCAGAGCCTCAGAGCTCTGGAGCAAGTTGTCTTTTTCCAGGACGAAATACTGGGATGGATTTTTGTTCCTGCTGCCCGGAGATCCCCAAGCTCCCCTGGTAAGTGTTGAGCCCCAGGAGCATGACTTAGTCCTGCTCACTGGTTACAAAATGGGTGATGCTCTGGCTCTGAGAGGGAAATGTAAAACTAAATATTCCAAGGTTTGCTTCCTCCAGGACATCCCTGGCAGGTTCCGTTCTCTGCACAGACTTGTGCTTTTTACAGTTTGGTTGTGGGGTCCCAAGTGTGAGTTTACAGCGTGTTCCCTCCTCCCTCCTGCGTGAGGGCAAATCTGGCTGCTTAAAGAGCTGAGGTGACACAGAGGCAGAGCACTGGGCAGGCAGTGGAGCGTGGCCTGTGTGCATTTCAATAACCCAACCCCTGCTCTTGGGCCTTCCCAGCCTTTGGGGATTTTGTTGCTGTTACTCCATGACACTGCTTTGTAAACCCAGACCGAGTATCCCATGAGCTGAGGCTCATCCTCCACAAGACCCGCTCGAATGTGCTGTCCCCTCGTGTTTCTGGGAGGTAGAAACACTCAGCAGGAAAAGAAAACTCCAAAGAAAAGTTTGTCTTGGACACCTTTAATTGTGTGTTGGGGAGGCTGGTGTGGGAGTGAGCCCCATCTCAGTGTCCTCAGCAAGGTTCGGTGTTGAGTTTGAGCAGCAAACCAGCAGCACTCCCGATTGAGCCCTGCCAGTGGTGCTTAACCTTTCAGGTGGTTTTGATAAAAACTTTAGCTGTCATTTGCATCAAAATGGCACATTCCTGCTCAAAACCAGCCTCAATTTGTCCTGTGCACAGGGGGGTTACTGGATATGCAGATGCCCCTCCTGGATGGGTGAATGGGATCAAGTCTGATCTCATCTCAACCTGAGATGAGACCTAAAACCAAAGCTGGGTCCTTTGGTATCTGGGGCAAAACCAAACTTATATTGAATACACGTGGGGTTTGCAGTTAAAAAGTTGAGACCAAAATATTTCCCATTCATTTTGGCAGAGCTATTTATTGCTATTATCATCTGACTGCACTGGAAAGTACCTTCTGTTATGGGGTTTAAAATGTTAGAGCCATGCCAATACATTTTTTCTCTACATTACAAACAACTGTGGAAAGGCTTCTTTTTTTTTTAGATACCTTTATTTTAGTCTGTATTTCTGATTATTTATTTATTTTGTTGGTGGTCAAAATAGACTCAGCTGTCCTTTTTGCCATTTGGTGCTCTGGTGTCTGTAAAAATATTTGCTGTGTCCCCAATGGAAAGACTTCTATCCTATAATTTCAGGAATATTGACTGGATACTCTAATGGCTTTTTACATCTCTAGTTGGAAAATCTTTAGCCTTGTTATTTAAATTTTAAGAAGAGAAACCAATATTGTTAAGAGAAACTGATGTCTCCTGTCACTTACCCAATGACCTTTCATAAGGTGATAAAGGTTTCTATAGTGACCTGAGGAAATAATGGCTCAGGTATCATTGTGAATTAAAAGTCTCTCTCAGGAAAAGCTTTCTTTTCTCTCTCAGGTATCCAATTCTGCCTTTGTCTTTATTCAAGTTGCTAGACTTCTGAGAAGGACTCAGAAAACATACAGTGTTTGGTTACATGGCTGTCTTTCATCTTTTAGAGACTTCATAATGTTGTGGGGAAGTCAAAAAGTCCATGGCAAAGCAGAGTTGGATTTTTAAATGCTGTGTACCATGAGGGTAACCTACTCCTGTTCAGGCTGAATTCTGTGACCTGAGATATAATTTATTCCAGGAGTAATAAATAATTATTTATTATTTCAGGAGCTGTGTTTCCCTCTATAAAAACCAGGAATTTTGTTTTATTGCAGATTCAGCTTTGGCAGAGGTGTTTTCTCTAAGTTCCTAATTTCAGGCCTCATATAAACCTCAAAGTGAAATCTCTTTTGATTAGTGAGTGGGTGAATTCTGTAAGTAAAAGTTGAACGTTATTTGAGAAATAATTACCTGAGGACCTGTGGAGTTTTTTGGGGGTATGTTTCTGGTTGGTTAGGGTGTTTTGGTTTGGTTATATTTTAAGAATACAAGGATGCATTTATGCCTGCTTGTGCTCCTGGATGATACATGTTTCATCAGTGTCTTTCAGTTTATCAAACCTGATGTGACAGACACCTAAAAAAAGCTTAGAGAGACAAACACTTTCAGCTCAAGTTTCCATTGATGTCTTTCAAAAATGAAGGAAAGCTGTTAAAATCTGTGTTATCTGTATAGGCAGAATGTGGAATAATAGGCTGGCCCTGCAGAGCAGACTGAGGCTGTGTACCCCTGGTGCTCTGAGCTGTCAGACAATTGTCTGTCATTTTGCTTTTGATCACAAACTGGAAGTTTAGGAAGCTTGGGAAGTCCTGGGCCAGGTGAGGCAGAGCAAGGCCAGAGATGCCCAGTGGGTCTCCCAGCCCTGAGCCATCCCCTCATTCCACCTGGTGCTTTTATTTATACCTTTTAAATGCCAGACTGTGAAAGAAAATATCCACCCCACACCTTTTAGCAGAGATCACAACTTCATACTTCCAAAGTGTCTCTGCACTTACTGTTGCTGGCCAGATTTAACCATTATATTAGTAATATGTATTTTCCCTGGGGTTCTGTTGCTGAATTGCTGTGTTTCTCCCCACCTGGAGAAGGTGCACCTCAGAAGTATATTGTGAGGATGAGAATAACTTGGATACCTCAGTGATGAGTGAGATGCAAATACCCAGATAGATTCTGGAGATAGTCACAGCTTCCTGATGGCCCAGAGGAAAAATCTGAAAGAACAGGAATGCATAAAGCTAAACTGCATAATGCATAGCAGTCATAATTAATAGATTAAAGTTCTTTGTGAAACATGCTTTTTTATTCTAATAAAGGGAAGGGACTACAAATGGTGACACAGTTTGAGAAAAGCAGCGATGCCATGTTAAAGTTGTAAAGCTAAAGAGGTGATAAAAGTGTACCTTGGTTTTAAATTTTTACAAGACTGATGTAAGACTTATTCTCTTAAATAGCAGCACTTTTCCTCATCTCTGGGCATACTAGATCATTCTGGTTTTTGAATTACATACAGTTGCTGGGGGATTATTAAAAAGTTGCCAATCCTTGCTGCTTAGTCTCTGCTAAAAAGTTCAGAATTTATCATGTGAATTAATTTGCCTAAGCAATGTTAAATTTTGCTTTTGTTGTAGGATTGTGTAGATCAGCCATTGATAGAACTTTAATTGGCTGGGAATGTTCATGATTTTTTTCCTTTAAAAAAAAAAAAAAAGCCTGCCAGCAAAATTGCTTTTTGGTGATGACTCTGCTTGAAAAGTGCTCTGCAGGGGCCCATTCCCAATTGATTATCTTTCACAGCTAATAGCTTCAAAGGCTATTTGGTGGACAGTCCAGTTTTACATTTAAATGTAAATCTCGATAGCCTTGACAGACTGATGATCAGAAAAAAGGGGAGGTAAAAACAGTAAAATAAATGTACAGCTGGTATAACTTTCACCAGCTCCTCCAGGGGCAATTGTAGTAAAATTAAAATGGTTACAGTTTGACAAAGCTCTTTAGAGCGGATGGTGAGTGAAAGCTTCCCTCAAAAGATCCAGCATTAATAAGTTGCTAAATAGGGTGTCAGCCTTAAAAGTTCAGTACAGTGTCAATGGCTCCCATTTGTGCTTCATTTGGAATTTCATTCGGATTCAGGAGTAAAGTTCAAAGCACTGGGGCCACCTGGGTAAAGCCAGTGTTATGACAAAGCTACAGCAGAGAAGTTCTGTGGAAAACCAAGTTCACATTTGCAGCTGAGCCCTCCTGGCAGGTCAGGTGCCATCAGGGTGAGGAGACCCTGGATCAAGGGAGAGGTGCCACCACCGCCGAGGTGATCCTGCCTTTCAGGGGCTGCCCTGGCCCTGGGTGGGTGAAGGTGGGGTCTGAATTTTGACAGCCCTCATAAGAATCATCAAAGTGGCAGAAGGACAAAGCTGACAGCGGTGGCAGAAGGAGGTTCCCTCACAACATGCCAAATGCCCCGTCCCCACTATGGGCCGGATGGATTTTTACGTGGTGAGGGGCTACAGGCTTCTACCCACAGCTTATCTTGGGAGCAGATGGAGCAATAAAAGGACATTGAGGGTTGCATAGTTGAAGGCTCCTTCAGCCATGATATTCTTGTCATTTTGCTGTGGAATGACTGAACTGCAGCAGGCTGGAGGACCCTGCAGAGGTGGCCCATGTGCTTGGCCATTGTTACTTTGCCTCTTGTGCCCTCTGAGCAGTGGCCTTTCCTTACACATTCCTGTCATATCACAGGTAACTTCTTTGTTGGCTTCTTTGCCTGAACTGCTTGGGCTTCTCTCCAAGACTTATGGCCGTGATATATTGGCATCCCAACTGCACCATGTAGAGAAGAGCACTCAGTGAGGATAGAGCCAGCAGTCAATGCCATCCTACCAACAGGAACGCTGGGGAAAGGCTCTTCCCAACAGAAAACTACTGAAATAGAAGACTGTCCAAAAGTAACTCAGGTTTTCTTACTTCATTACCATCTTATTTAATTTCTGATGTGCTCCAGGACTCCTTACATGGCAATAG